TGCACCCCCTTTTGTAATATTTCTGTGGTACAGGTGCTAATGGGTTTTAAATGTTGGCTGTTGGGGCATAACCCACTGTCTACACACAGAAGTAACCCCTAATTTTTATTTGCTCCCACAAAAATAGCTGCTTTCCCGTGTCTCCCTCCCGAGCAGCAGCTGGAGGGAGTGTGTGTGAGTGGGAGAGAGGTGCTGCAGTCTGGCTCGCTGGGGAATCCAAGGGAGGAGAGAGCATCCTGAACTCACAGCAGGCTGCTCTGTGGGAGGAGGAGTGAATGTCCTTCCCTCCCTGATAGCAGGATTAATGCCAATCCCTCACACTGGTGTGTATTCTGAGGTGGGTTTGTTGGTACAAGCCTTTACCATGAGCTGGCCTGGGAGAGGCACCTGCACTGTGCAGTGTTGTGACCCACTCTGCTTCCCTGGATTGGGCTTGAAAGTCAATGTATATTTGGATACATGTGATTTATGTGTGCATAAATCACACAGCTAGAAGTCCTTACACTGCCATAAGTAACTACTGGTTGGTCTCTCTTATTTTCTTTTTTTTTTTTTTTCTTTTTGAAACCCCAGCTGATATAAAGAATATATTTAATGTATTTAGTATTTATGTTGTAGCTTGTTCTTTTCAAACTCGTGGCTCCAACAATATCTATAGAGGTACATTCCAATGTTCTGGGTTCTCATCCACTTTTTAAACATCATTTTTTTCTTGCAAATGAAACATAGATACTTATGTCCATATATACAGCCTGGACAGCACAGTAAAGCCTGTCCCTGAGTCATTTCCTTGACATTTAGCTCTGAAAACCATTTCTGGCAATTTTGGAGGACCACGTGGTAGCCAGGGCCATGTCCAAACCACCTGAGTTTGGACTGCCCTGTTTGCAGTCAGCACTGGGATTGTTAATTCATTCCAGATGTCAACACTTCTCATCTGGAAGGATCTAATGCCTTAGGTGCACCTTGTTAGCAGGCAGGTCCCTCTCAAAGGAAAATCCATGCAGGTTCTCCCTAAATAATATTTAAAGTTGAGCTATGAAAGATGACTGAGACAATAATTTAAACACTCTCTTTTCCAAGAACTACGTGGGAACAGTGTGTGTTTCATATCATAATAGGCCAATGAAAAGTATTGAAAAACACTAAAAGGTGAATTAGCCATTTGAAAAATGAACCTGATACCATGGTGTGCTCTTACTTCTGTGCTTATAATGCATTATTAAGATTTCCTGACCTTGCCTAGGAAAAAACTGTATGTTAACAGTTAAACAGAGGGTGAAAGTGTGTGGAACTCCAAGGATGGAATAACATGGCCTTGTTGGCTTTGGCAAAGTACAATCTTTGGTGATTGAAACCTGAGAAATTTGGGGACCCACAAGGGCTTAGACATGCTTATCTTTGTGTGTAACTCATGCATGTAAATTGTTACAGCATTTGGCCTGTGACAGGGTTGTTTCAGCACAGACTCTGTTCAGTAAAGCCCAGGGTGTGATCTTGTCCTTGATGAAGTCACTGGGACTTTGGAGCCAGCAGAGCTCCCTTGTATGGGCTAAAATAGGAAATTACCTACTCAGACGATGTGAACTGCAAAATAGTTCACAACTAACTTCAGAGGGGGAAAAAAAGGATTCTTTTAATAGTGGCTTTATGGTCTTCTTCATGATTATATTATTTACTGTGGTATCATCCCAAGGCCCAAAGGAGGTTCCCATCCAAGGCTTCTTTATACCACAATTACACAAGCAATCACTGCTTTGCTCTAACCGTCTTTTGTATTTTTATATAAAGCTTTAAATTCAAAACCTTGAAGTAGCATAGGCTTGATCTGGAACACTGCCACACTCAGCAAACCTGGTCTTAATACCACTTCCAGCACTGGTTTAAGCCAGAGTGATACATTTTCTGTTTGATGTCACTCTCCACACCAAGCTATGTACTTGAAGTTTACACTGTGACAGAAGTCATGATTTTAAACTGCATTTATTATGTGAGAGAGGAGTGCTAGAGCAGGAAGATTGTAACTATTTTAAAAGCACAAGAAGTGTCTACTAACTGCCTAAAATATAAGACCAATTTTATTTTATATTTACTGCAAAAGAGCCATAAAACATCAAGCAGATGATGATGAGGCTGTTGGGACACAAGCATTTGGTTGCTGCATCTGGCATTAGCATGGGATGGCAGAGTCACTGATCAGGATTTAATTTTAATTTCTTGTCCTAATTTGCATTTCCTATTACTGCTTGTTGCATTTCAGCCCTGTGGGTTTGGGATCTGACCAAAAGCCAGTTGAAAGCTCTAAAACCACTAGAAGTCCAGCATTTTTCTTTCTTTCTTTCTTTCTTTCTTTCCTCCAAAAAGTTGAACAAAAATAAACACCCTCCCTCCTGCTCTTTTCCCTTCACACATATATCCACTGGAAAAAAGTCTGCTCCTCGGGAAACAGGCATGGATAACACAGGATCATTTGAGCCAGGTTTAAAGAAGACTCTGCCCGTAGCTTTTCCTTTGGTCACTCTTAACAATGGAATGGATGAGCGTGAGAGTTTGTCCCTCTGATAGAAAGAGAAGCATGGAAAAAAAAGCAGTAGCTGAATCCTGAGTACCTCACAGGAATGGCTTTGAATCTTTGTGTATGTGTGGGAAGAGCTTCCTTGATACCATCTGCTTAAAAAGAAAAATAAACCCCCAAGCACAAATGAAGAATAGGGAACAGAACAGCTTATTGCCCTTGTACTCTCAGGGTTTAGTGAAATGGAGGAATCAGCAGTACTACAGAGTTATAAGAAAGAGAGAAACAGATGAATTGGTGGTCCACCATTTCTCTGCTCTGTAATTATTTTATGAAAAGATTGCAGCAGCCCACCCAGCCATAAGGAGTTTTATTTGGTGTCTGTAGCAGAATGAGCCCCAATGGGACAGTGTAGCCCAGTTTTACGTGGCCGTGTAATGAGACATCCCAGCATAAGGAATTGGCACAAGCTGACAGGGGACCTTCATTTCTGTTTGAAATCGCTCAACTTACAGCTTTTAAACAACTAAGTTTGCTAATGTGGAGAAAGTCATCATTTATATTCCTGCCTGATCTGAGAAGCAGCTCTGTGATTGTTCCTTTGCACGTGCAGGGCCTGTGCAGAAAGTGCAGTTCACCTGCTTCAATATTCAAAATGTGAAGTTTCAAGCAAGATTCTGAGTTAAAACATGTCAGGAAGAGAGAGACTAGGGTTAAGAAATGATGCTTTACTTCCTCCAGAACGTAATTATAGGGAAACAGTTCAGAACATCCAGATTTTGTTATCAAGCAGTCTAATTTAAACATAGTTCCATCTTCAGACAATAAATAATGTACATGTGGTGGGCATGAGTCATCACACTTTCAACAGTGTCTGTGGAGCTCCCTGCTTTGCATGATTCCTGCATTAAAATGTAAATGAAAAGCAGTTTTTTATTAGAATTTGAAATCAGGAGAGAGGTCATTTATAGACATTACTTAGATTAGACCTTCTGTGAGGTCACAGCCACCTGTTGGGCTACGGGGCTGTGATGCAAAAGGAGGGAGGGGGAGAAGGGGAAGCTTTGGCCGCCTTTTTTGAGAAGTGAGCCCCCAAATTGTTGTACGAATCAGTGTCCAAATCTGCGTGCAAATCATCGTCTTTCTATCTCAGGGCTGTTTCGGTGTTTGTCTCGGAGGGGCAGGCTCTGCTGTTGCAGCAGCCGGGGACCACCGGGTGCGCAGACGAGCTTCAGAATCCTGTCTCAGCGAGGAGCCAGGAGGGCTCGCGTTGCGCTGCCCGTGCGTGTGTGTTGGCGTCACGGCTTAAAAAAAAACCAGCCCAGGCTTCCAGTGCTGTAAGGCGTGCGCTTACTCCCGTGCCTAAACTCCAGCTGGACGGACAGCCCCGCCTAGCCGGGGCTGGTTTAGTCTGCGCTGAGAGAGGGAACTCGGACTCTGGGGCTGTTCCCAGGCTGAGCCCGGGGATGCCCGCGGTGCTCACACCTCACTCCATCCTCGACTCCCGCACCTGTGCGGGGCGGGCAGGGCCGCCTCGGCTCTCCCGAAGGGCGTTTTCCCAAGGAACCCCGAGCCAGGAGGGCGTTCAGCTCTCTGATCCCTCCGATTAAAGCGTCCCCGGTGAGGATCGCTTCTTACTGGGCTGCTGGATGCTCCCAGAGTAATTTAAAATCACTGAAGCGCTGTTTATTAATATAATGCTCTTAACATTGAAAGTACACGTTAATCCCCTCGTAGCGATGTGGGAGGTGAGGGGGGATAACAAGGAGAGAGGGCAGGCTCGGGTCGTTGTTCACGCTGGGAGCCGGGCAGGGACCAGCTCCCTGGGGACAGCTGGGCACGGGGACCAGCCACCCGCTCGCTGGTGACAGGGACCAGCGTGGCCGGGAAAAGCAATCCGCGGGCCCCGCACGGCTCCCGCACCTGCCCTGCCAGCCCCCCGCTACCTCCATCCCTCTTTCCATCCCTTCAGCCCCCTCAGGAGGGCGGGGAGCGGCCACGCAGTGCCGGCAGCGCCCGAGCAGCGCGAACCTGCCCGGGAAGCCCAGCAGGAGGAGCGGGAGAGGAAGAGGACAGGAGGTGCGCTCCGTGCCCCCGCCAGGTTTCACCTCCGGCGGTGATGCTGCCAGCACTGCCTGTACCCCCCACCCCCCGAGGGCGCCGCCGGGCTTTCCCGAGGTGAGTGGCCACCCGCGGGCGGCTCTGCCCTTCCCGGGGCCGGGCAGGGCTCCGGGCAGAGCATCCCGCTCCGTGCGGGAAGGGAGCGCCGGGGCCCGGAGAAGTTCTCGTGCGGGGCAGGGGAGGAGCGGCGGCTCCAGCTGCTGAAAGGGACACGCGTGGGAGCGGGAGGCACCTGGAGAGCCGGCCCAGGTGGAGGGAGAGCAGCTGGTTGGAGCGGAGGCGGGGGGAGGAAGGGAGAAGGTGGGGAAGCGGGCGGGGACAGGAGGGGATGGATGGGGGAGCCGCAGAGCGGCGAGATGGGGAAGGAGGTGGCGGCGGCTCCTGTGCATCGGCGCCTGGGCTGAAGCACCCGAGAGGAATAGGCGCAGGCTCACATTAGCACCGCTGGAGCCGAGTTTTCCTTCGGGAATTCGCCGCACAACTGTTGGGAAAAGTGGCTGTGCCCGGGGAGCGACTGAGCGCAAGGTTAGGCGCGGCTTTGTGCGGCGCTTGTGGCGGGCGGGAGGTGGCGGATCGCACTCCCCCAGGCGCTGCCGGGGACCTGCGGGCGCCGTGCCCGGTTCCTGGAGCGGAGCAGAGCCCCTGGGAGGGAGCGGAGCCTCTGGACGGGAGGAGAGCACCCGGCCCGCCTTGGGATGCGCTCCCGCCGCCGTCTCTCCCCCACCCCGCGCATCCGCGTTTGGGAAACTTTGTGTGCTCCCGGGGCCGGGGCGGTGAGTGCATCCCGGTGGACCGGGATGGCTCGTCCTGTTTGTTTGCCATTCTCCGGGCTGCTGGCAGCGGGTTATGTGCGTGTTTGCGTTTGGGATCAATATTTATTTACGGGGCTCAGGTATTAATCACTCGTGCCTCGGAAAGCTCATTAGCGGTGACTTGTTTCCATGACAACGGGACCCCTCGGAGCCTTCGGGGTTATCTGTTTGCCCGATTTAATTATTTATTTATTTTCTTTTCATGAGGCGTGTTTGTACTAGTGTCGTGTTTTGTCATCGAGGAGGAAAACAGGCAAATAAACCCTGTGTGATCCTGTGGCCCCTGTTCGGTTTTCCTCTAACGCTCAATTATTTCCCCAGACTTAATTATCGGTATATGAATGGGATTAAGCAAGTGTGTGACTGATACAAGATTTCTTAGTACTTGTTTTGATGCCTTTGCCTCCTTCAGCTATAGAGCTCAGACTAATAAGACATGGTTTGACTTGTTTCTTGTTCAGAGCACTCCTCAAGACACGTCGGTGCTAAAAGAGTGTGATGTTTTCTATCTTTTTGTTTGTGTATCATTCAGCAGCACAGAAGCCTTTGAGCAGCATTGTACTGCAGCTTTATTGCTACGGCAGAGCTGGGGATCGGTAGTGAGTTATTGAGTGACTCTGTCACCTTCCCGGGCTGTGACCTTGACAGGTCTCTTAACTTGTTCATATCCCATCCTGCTCAACGTGCTCTGAGCTAATCAAACAAAACACTTGGTCTGAGATGGAGCACTGTTAAAGCTGACCGTAGATTATTTTCTGTTTCAGGAGTAAACATATCCTATACATCCCATTTCCCCAGTGGTATAGGTGAAAATCCCCCTTCTTAAATCCAGTCTGTCTTTAACTCAGCACAGCTGGCTCTTCAGATGATGTGTGCTGTTACCACCCATCTGAAAACAGCGGTTCTAATCCCATTTTTGCTAACTACCAATCACTGCTGTCCTGGGTTACCTTCTTCAGAGTCAGGTAAAAAGGAGAGTTTAGCATTCTGAAATCTGTAGAAATATCTACTGTAAAAAAGAGTATTCATCCAATGAAAAGATACAAGAGTAAAGAAAGACTAGACTGTAAACTGAATGACAGCCTTGATCACTTGCCTTAGCATTGCAACAGGAGAGGGACTTGAATGCTTTTTGAGAGCAAGCAAACACCCACTTTTATCTTAACTGTATGTTAGGTTAAACATCTGAAACTGTTCTACCGATTTGCCTAGTTTTGCAAGAAGCATTTTAATATATAGTGTTACGTTGAGAAGCACTGGGAGCGTGTAAGAAACGTCTGAGAATATACAGTTCTGAACTAAAATACAGCCTGAGAGATGTTCAGTTGTGACTGGTTTAGATTACAGGAGTAGGAAGTTATAATAGCAGGGGAACCTCAGTATGAAGCACACATTTTGCTGCTTTCTTGAAACACTCCTTTTAAGTGAATAAGCTTTTATGAAGTAACTGTCTCTCTCATACTGTGAGAAAGACTCAGCTCAGTCCAGCAAAGTGCTAAAACATGCCTCGTTCCAGATGCATTAGAGAAGGCAAATCATACTTCAAGCTTTTACCTAAACATCCGAAAGAATCAAGGCCTGTGACCTTGACTTTTGTATTCTGGTTTTTAGCGACCTGGTAGCCAGACATCTGTCCAAAAATACTTCTTGTGAGTTAGTTGAGGGCCATTAACAGCCATTAGTTACCAGTGAAGTAGTTCTATGACAATCCTATGAAGAGAAAGAAAGAAATCTTAGTCAGCATCTTGTCTCCTTCGGATGTCATGGGCTTAAATTTCCATGCTGATGATTAATTTTTTACTACTTAGTGCTGCACAGTCAATACAGGCAGAGAGGAAGTGATCTATCTAGGCTTTACTCTGTGCTTTGCATCCTCTGTAAAGCTCAGTCTTTTATTACAGGTGCTATTAAGAAAAACAGACATTCCAGTTCAGTTCTCAGACCCTGGTTGCCACGAGGGGAAAAAAAAAAATCTTAATTTTATTGTTTTAAGGCTGTGCAGTAAGAAAGATAGTTCCTAAGAAACCCTCATTACCTCTGGAGATATTCTTCAGAACAAAAATCACTTGAGGTTGTAAGAAGGCAGCTGAGCATATGAGCTGTCAATGATAAAGGTGTTCTGTATGAGGGAGTGGAAAAATCTACATAGACATGAAGGCTGAATCTATATATATGGATGATTATATTGGTTTACATTGTATTTTACTCAGCATTACAGTGAAGTACCTTGGCTATAATGTGCACTGGTTTTCATAAACAAAAATGCTTCCAGTGGTGTTTATATTCAAGGTACTACCTATTGCTCAAGCTGCCTATTGCTCATGCTTTGCTGTCCTGTGGAAATAAGCTTAATATTGTTTGTTTCTGTGGTGTTGGAAGTCCCTCAACGGGGATGAATAAGATGCAGGACCAGTATTTAGTGGAGGTGGTTGAGCTCCTTTCTTTGTAACCGATCTACTCTGGACAAGTCACTTTTCCCCTCTAATTAAACTTTTCCCTGGTCCTCCTCCCCCTATTTCTCATCGCTCAGCGTTGCTTGTTTGGATCGTAGGATCCCCAGGGCAGAGTCTTCCCCTGTGCATACTTTGTGCCCAGACAGATCTCTACCAGAGAGAAAAATGTCAGTGCAGCACAATAACAAGAAACTATAGCCAACATTTTTCCTGTGTTGGTCACTGGGATCTTTGCACGATCCCCAGTTACTGGCTGAGAGGCACTGAGGCTGTTGCAGATCAGTGTGGAGATGTACAGGAGGAGTTGCCTCCAGTGCTGCTTCCTTAACACTGCTTTTGCTGAGCATATTTGAAGAAAACAGCTTTCAGAGAAAAAAAGTTCACAGATCTGTACTCCAAGGACTTGGGAATGAAGAATGGCTCATTCCTGACTTTCCTGAACACCTGTTTGCTGTCAGGTTGAATGTGCTGTCTTTCTGGATGTAAAAATAAGGCAGCTATGAATTTAAAATAGACATTGGCAGCAAGAGGAGAGCAGAAACCAGCACTAAATATGCAAAGTGGCATCTTGATTTTCTTCTTCATTTGTTTATTTTTTTTCTTTTCCAGTGCTTTTAGGAGGGAGAAGGGCAGATAAGTTACCAGGTATACTTTCTGAGCTTATAAAATACACAGCTTCATTTGACAGGGGTGAGTAACGATGTTAGGAAGGTACAAGAGCTGTTTCTGAGCTATTCCAGTTGGGAGCTCTGTTATGTTCTTCATAAACTACTATAAAGTGTTTACACTTCAAAATGTGCTGTACTTGATTCAGCTATGTTGTGTTGTTTTTTTTGGTTTGGTCTTAATTTCAAAATCACTCTACTAATCAATAGTGGTGCTTTCTCATAAAACAGTCTTTTAGGTTGAGGCAGGGTTGTTTCCTATGAAAGGTTGAAAGGTTTACAGATGAAAACTGACTTTTAAAGTGAAGTTTTCTGTTCTCTCTGGTAGATTTACTTCCATCTTTCACCAGAATTTGACTGCTACACTTATGGTAGAACAGAGAATGTATTTTTCTGTATGAGCGGTAGAGTAAAACTCTTCTGTTTCAGTCATTTTAATCTTTTAAAAAGTGAGATTTTTTAAATATGACGATGTAGAAAAGCTCCTTCCTTACCTTTCATTTGCTTACCATATTTTTAATGAAACTGGGTACAATCATTTCAAAACTACTTAGACTTTTAAGGCCCAACTTCAAAAGACCCCCCAAAAATCTGTTAAAAAATCTTTTAAAAGATTTATTCTGGAGGGAAATGTCTCCCACGTCTCTAGGATGCCTCATGTTACACCCCTGCAAGTTCACAGGCACAACCTCTCTTGTCACTTTGGGAGTTTCGGACCTGGGTGTATTTTTTACTTGCAAAACAAGGGAAAAGAGACATCAGCCAAAATCAGTAAATTCAAGTGACTTCCTTTTCTGTTTGTTGCTCAAACCACTGCTGGAGCTGAGTAGCACCTCAAGCAGTGATTCTGCACTGCCTTTTGCCTTCAGCTGACGTGGTACAGCTCTGCTTTGATGGCACAGCTGCTTTGCCCAGGCTGGGTTTTTGTGGGAGGTGTGCTCTGCCTGGCTGTGCGAGGGAAGCCAAGGTGCAGATCTGTGATGTTCCCAGGGAGCAAGGCAGGGAAAGACCTCACCTCTGCATGTGCAGCAGCCCCAGCAGCCTGCCAGCTCCTCCTTCAGAGTCTCTGGGTTTGTAGGCTGACCTTTCCACACTGGTGAGGCTTAGCAGGCCCACCCAATTTTCTCACTTTATGCCAGGATGTCTGATGTTGCAGACAGGGAGTCTGTTCCTGCTCTATTTGGAGGCAAGGGCAGAATGCTCACTGATTTCCATAGGAACGAGATGTATTCCTAAACATACTTCAGTAGCTAGAAGGAAACTTCCTAATAAAGAACCAGACTGTGACATTACACAAAACATGAAGCATTGTTCGAGGCTTCAAAGCTCTTAACAGCAGCATGTCTGCAGACCAGGCACTGCAAACTGCAAATCCCGGGGCATTCCTGGCAGGACTGTGGGGGATTATCCACTCTTCTGCCCAGAGGAACAACTGAGGCTTCAGCACCTTACTGACAAAATCCTGTTTATTCTGAGGGATGCAACTCAAGCCCCCCAGGTTGTATCAGGAATGGAACTGAAGAAGCAGTGGATTTCCCACATCAAGGGGGAAAGGCAGTGGGATTTCAATTTACCTGAAGAAGCAAGATGCCCTT